AATTTGTGTACCTTCTGAACCCGTTTTCTCACCTCTAGGATGAATTCCTGTGCTACCTGCTCCCCTGTGCCCTCTCACTTTAAAAGCTGTGATGAGCCTGGCTGGTGTGGTTCAGTTTGAGAGTCGACCTAAGAACCAGGAAGGCATGGTTCGATTCCCAGTCAGGGCACATGCCAAGGTTGTGGGCTCGATCCCCAGTAGGGGGCGTGCAGGAGGCAGCCGATCAATGATTATCTCTCATCATTGATGTGTCTCTCTCTCTCTTTCTCTCTCTCTCTCTCTCTCTCCCCGCCCCCCTTTCCCTTCCTCTCTGCAATCAATAAAATATATATTAAAAAAATAAAATAAATAAATTCTGCCTGACGAACCACTGAAGTGTTGTTTTTGCTTTTAGCAAACACTTTTTCCCTCAGACTTTGCATGCACAAATTCTTAATTAAGATCCAAGTCAAGAAGAGTTTACTGCATTAAGCAAAATAGCACAAAATAATTAATAAAGTCAGTTTTAAGGCTCTACTTGCCCTTCTGTTTTTTACTGAGCCTCAGTGGGTGGCAGCTGAGAATTTACTCATTCATATCAGAAAGGCTGAGTGAGCTCACTGCGCCAGGGAATGTGTAGGCAGAGGCCCAGAAACATAACTCACAGTCTCTGCTAAAAGAGGTGCAGGACTAGTGACAGACATTTAGAGAACAGAATTGAGATGAATAAAAATTTGACACCAAAGAGGCAAAACATTAAAAAGCTTCTGCACAGCAAAAGAAACCATCAACAAAACAATAAGAAAGCCCACTGCATGGGAGAACATATTTGCCAATGTTATCACCGATAAGGGGTTAATCACCAAAATTTATAGGGACCTCAAACAACTTAACAAAAGGAAGATAAAAAAAATCCACATCAAAAACATGGGCAAAGGACCTAAATACTAGTAGACACTTTTCTAAAGAGGACATACAGAGGACTGAGACACATATGAAAACATGCTCAAAGCACTAATCATCCAAGAGGTACCATCTCACACCTGTCAGAATGGCTATCATCAACAAATCAACAAACAACAAGTGCTGCT